CAGATCGTTATGTTGTCAGCTAGTTTCCTTGGCTTCCAACACTGCTCGTCAAAAGTTCGTTCTGCTTTTTCCTGAAAAGCAGAATATTTAGGTGCAGTATCTCATCCACCAGATATGTAAAAATAAAATACATCAATATGGGAACGAACTCACTTTTTTCTTTTATCGTCCCTCATGTGGCCAGCTCCGGGAAAACCACTTTCCAGCAAAGATCCGAAGCCTTCTTGAAGGCCACAACTGTTGAGCCGCTTATGACATTCTCCGGCAATATATTCAGCAAAGGTATCACCCAGTTTGTGAAAAACCTGGCCCCCAACTCCATCCTGGAGTGCCCTCTTTGCAGCTCAAGGCTATGATCTCTAGTGCCGCACTCTGGTGCAGGAACGAAGAGTCTGCCTAGTTCTAGGCTCGACAACTCCTTGACTACGGTAAAGGCTTCTCTCAAGTTGCCCCTAGTCCTTCGGCGTGACAGTGAGGAAAGAATCAGGTTCCTCAGACACTGCGATTAACTCTTCACTATCTGTCCAGTGACCATTCTGGTTGCCAGTCGTTGTACCCTTTCTAGACACGCCATATCTTTGCGATAGTATGGGGTTCAAGCTTGCACGCAGTATTCCAGCAGTGCACGCATCATTGCCTTATACAGCTAAACAAACACATGGTTTCCTGCATGTAACTGTGCTCTGCAGCCGAAGAGCACTCCGCTTACTTTATTTTCAGCCACCTAACATTGTCTTGTAGGCGGGAAATCCTTTAAGACAATTAATCCTAGATCCTTTACCTCCGTCAGGCCACGTAGCTTTGCGTCCCCGGTTGAGTCTATATCATTAGTCATTAGCTGACACCTGGGAAGATTCAGGGTTAAATCCTATCGAGTCGACCAGCTGCGAACTGCATCTAGGTCCTGGGTTAAGTTCTCACTCGCCATTTTCACATCATTTGAAAGGATGAAACAAAAACTGTGCAATTCTAGCGTGAGATCGCTGATGAAAAGAAGGGGCCCAAGAACGGAGCCTTGGGTTATCCCACTTGTAACCCTGTCTGATCGCAAAGTGTAGCTGCCAACCCGTACAGTGAAGCTACGGTTGTTAAGGAAGTGCTTCAGCCACTGACGTGCTGACCCGATTATTCTAAACGTTGATAGCTTCCTGTCCAGCAACGTAAGATTCACCGGGTCCAAAGCCTTGCTAAAGTCTAAGTAACATACCTCCACTACCCTACCCTGATCTAATGGACGTGTAGTTTCGTCCAGAAACATAAGTAGATAGGTTAAGCACGACTTATTTTCGGTAAACCCATTCTGTGCAGGAGATATAAGTCTATGAGTAACCAGGTGCGCATATATTTGTTTTCTGACTATACGTTCGGGGCATTTGCACAGCTTTGACGTTAAACTGAACGGCCTGTAGCTTTTCGCCTTCTATATAGATCCCGTCTTGTATATTGCTACCACGGTTGCCTTCCGCCAGTCCTCTGGCACTACCCCAGAGGTCAGTGATGCCTTAAACAAATCAGTGACAGGTCCTAGTATGACCTCAGCTAGTGGCTGGACAATAGCTGAGTGGATCTCATCCGGGCCCACCACCTTATGCTTGCACAGGCTTTTCAGCTCGGTTTGTACCTCCTCCTCACTCACGATCAACAACTGCAGTTCGTTTCCAATGGTATGGTTCCGGGCTCCATCACCCTGGGATGAACGATAGACACTTTTGAAGTAGTCCATCAGCTAGCTTAGCATTCGGCCTATGGTGCCTCGTAACAAACTTTGGTTGCAGTACCCCATGGTAACTCTTTCCTAGCGGTTCTTCCCTCATAAGAGAATTGAGGTCCGTTCTGTACCTAGTCATAACTAAATCTAACGTTGACGGACGATGGCCACCTTTGAATCGTGTGGGTATTTTGACTTGCTGCGCTAGTCCGTGTTGGTTTATCCAGTCCAAGAGTTCATTACCAGCGGTACCCTTTGGCGCGCTTTCTGTCCCAGTCTATTTCTGGTAGATTGAACTCGCCCATTATTAGGAATCGCGATGATTCCCTCACTTTGTTACCTAGGAGTACCATTCATGCAGAATCCTCTGCTCTATTAGACTGCGGTGCCCTGTTGAAGCAGAGCACTCCCGCCGGTCTACCCCGCAGTTGGACATAACAGGACACGGCCTGTATGTTCGGTGTGGCTAAGGTGAACGGAGCTTCCCACTGGCAGTATTCTGTGCTTACGAGTGGACCCTTGGGNCCCAGTCGGACATAACAGGACACGGCCTGTATGTTCGGTGTGGCTAAGGTGAACGGAGCTTCCCACTGGCAGTATTCTGTGCTTACGAGTGGACCCTTGGGCGGAGTACCCGAGGGTATGCTACGTTTTTTGCTTTACTGTTGTCTGCTCCTGTGGGTTCCTGCACCTGCCAGGAGATACCGCTTCTAGTCATGGAGACATTTTTAAAGAACAGTTCCAGTGACGAACTATCCCGTCCCATTGGCCTCCTGGTCTCACCAGATGGGGTCTGCTCCCTGTAGTTCCCAGTTTTAGCAGTTGGCGTGCGAGCAGCATCGTTTGCCTAGCTAACCCGAGTTCTTTGTTTACTACTGCAACTATGCTCACATGGTATTGATGAGGCTTGATGTACTCGATTCTTGTATCTCACATCTGCGATTTGTTGTTTACCCTAGAGCACTTTTGGAGAAACTCTCGTGTCCAGTGGATTATTCATATTAGTTCTGACCCTGCCCGCTACCGACCCATCTTTACCGGCAGCAGGTTTTGCCTTCAGTGAAGATCTTCTATGGAGGCGGAGTTCTATTTTGGTGAGTCGTATAACCGGTTCCTTCATTTTTGAGTCGGCTGCTCTATACGCCTCTTTGGATTCCGTAGTATTGACACTTAATGGAGAATCCGGTGTGATTCTCAATCGCCCCTAGTGCTCAGTTCCACTCTAGCTGCTCCTTCCAGAAGCATGTCTCGGCTATGATTTCCAAGAAATACTATCAACAGTGGGCGTGGATGGGGTGACTTGGGACCCTTCCACAGTCCAATCCTACGGCATTTGCTGTAGTTTGTGTCCGGTGGCAGCCCTGCCAGTCTAAAGGCATCCATTANTGTGGTTCATTTCCCGCCTAGCCTTTGCCTCGTTTACTATCGGTTCTGCGCAATTGTGCAACAGCAGTATTCCGCTCCTTGCAAAGACCCCTTCGGTGATGGCCTTCATCTTTGCCATTTATGCCTTCAAATCACCTATTTCTTTCCTTAAGGTCTTCCAGTTGGCCTCAGGCGGCTTTTTCGTCGGCTTCTTCTTTTTACTCTGAGGTAGCTGATCTGAGCTTCGCGTAGCTCGTGCCCGCTCACCCTTGGCGTTCCCCTGCGCCGCATTCTGGGAGAACTGCTTTTGCCGATTGTTTGCGTCTTGTGTCCTCGACGGGAGAGAGCCTAGCAGTAAGCGAGCGCACTATTCAGTAAACATTACACAATGTATGCCCGTCCACTTCAGGCTTTCGTGCTTCGTGTGCAGTTGGTAATCCTGCTTTGGTAAGGTCGAACCCGTTGCACTGGATACCAGAATTCACAACTTTCTGACAAGCCTTATTACCGCATGAGTTACGGTTGTACTGGCAAGCCA